TCAATTAAAAATATTTTAATTAACCACTAACTTCAAGAAATCTAATTAAAAATCATCCAATTAACGATTGATTTGAAGGAATTTGATAAAAAACTGTTGAATTAATGATTAAAACGAGTAGAGATTAAAACGAAAGTAATTAAAGATTATTCGATTAACGATTGAACATAGTCAATGTAATTAAGAGTTATTTAATTGACAATTGATATAAGCAAATTTAATCGAAAAGCGCAGTAAGACGATTGACCAATCGATGTTAATCGAAATTAACCGTAGTTATTTACATTGCTCATGGTAACCAACCGAGCTGAATATATGCTTATATATATATATATATATATATATATATAGCTTATATCAATTATCAATTAAATAACCCTTAATAATTACATTGACTATGTTCAATCGTCAATGGAATAATCTTGAATTACTTTCGTTTTAATCGTTAATTCAACAGTTTTTAATCGAATTCCTTCAAATCAATCATTAATTGAATGATTTTTAATTAGATTTTTAATTAGATTTCTTGAAGTCAGTGGTTAATTAAAATATTTTTAATTGAATGGGTTTATATTAATCGTCAATTAATTAAATTAGAAATTATTTACTTAAATCAATTGTTAAATTGAGGCGAATTTAATTGATATTTTTACAACTCTATATGTGATAAAGAATAGAAGATAACACGATATGATGTAGATGTGGTGTGCTTCTTTCTCCTCCCGACGTACACACACATCCGGACATACCTTTCCACTCGAATCACAAAACCTCGAACGAAGACGGTCCCTAGACGCAGTAAGACTTGAACTCACTCTCGTTACATTTTATTGCTCGTTTATTCTCTACTTTACGTTTTAACAATTTCATGGTGTGCTCTTGTTCACTATGCGCCATTCGCTCTCACCTTTCGACCACCCTTCACCGTTCACTCGCTTGTTCACTCGCCCCACGATAAGTGCGCGCACACGGCATTTGATAGAAACAATTACCGCGACGAAAGCGCGCGAACCGTGACGATTCCTCTCCGCGAGATCGATCCCGCAGCGTTCGCATCGATTCCCGCCATCCGAATCGCCGTCCGAGTAGCATGTGTGCTGCATGTGCGCGTGTGTGTATGTGTGTGTGTGTGTGTGTGTGTGTGTGTGTGGCTCGCACGCGGGGTCGAGGCGGTAAATTTTGGACGTGGTGGAGTGTTTTCCTCCGTCGAAAACGCACGCGCGAATCTGCGAATTCGGCTGTCACGAGTCTCCTCCCGGAACTCGTCGGTCCTCGGCTTCCAATTTCGCAAAGTCGCTCGGATCGACGCTTCTTGCGATCGCGCGAATCGAGGATTTACGCTGCCGATTGACGGCTCGCGACATCTCCGAGAGTTCAGACATCTCCGTCGTCGGGACGAGAGGAAATCCGGCACGTTCGGAGAACGTTCGGGGTATCCCCGCTCACTGGTCCGAATTATAAAACGGTTAAGTCGATATTTACACACGGGCAGATCCTCTCCCTTCCTCTCTTTCTCTCTCGCTCTCGCGGCCCTGTTGGATCGATCAGCCGTGTAATTTTCTTTTTTCTTTTCTTCTCTTTTTCTCTTTTTACAACGTCGACACTCCCCCATTCAAGCGCTCTCGCTCTCTCATTCGCTCCCTCTCTCTCCCTTTCTCTCTCACTCACTCTCACACTTTCCTCTTTCTCTCTCTCTCTCTCTCTCTCTCTCTCTCTCTCTCTCTCGGTCTAATAACTAGATCTCCGTACAAATATAATATATATGTATATATCTATGTATGTTCAGTGCCATTTTAGACTAATTTGATATTAAATGAAAATATAAAAATCTATACGTCAGCTACGTACGTTTGTATTTTATACGACGCTCGGTGTAGTCCGTCTCGCAATTTAAGAGCGACCGCTGCTGTGTGTCGCGCGTCATGCGGAACACGCGGGTTGCTTCGGGAGCTACAGCCGAGGACTCCGTCGTGGCTGCCGTCGGGACTCGGGCTGGAGCAAGCGAGAGAGTCCCGGACGATCGTAGATCCGCGATCTAATCGTCTTCGAGATATTCGGCTCTTTATTTCGCGCGAACCCCCCATCAAAGAGTTCCGCGCGCGAATTCAAACATTGATTTGTAAATCCGCGGGGGTGAAGACTTCTCTTCCCGCACGAGCCAGGGCGACGGAACCCACCGATCTGCCGGACTCTCCGATCGCGTAACGCGCGTTACGTAACGGGGCATTGCCTCCCTTCCCCTCCTCCTTTCCTTCTGTTGCTAACTGAGTCAGCTGGGCGACCGGCCGCGCGGTCGTTAACCTCCGTTCACACACAGCGCGCGTATACTGTCCGCTGATACTGTGAGAATTTTAAAGGGCTATAATTTGCGGGCGAATCGACGCGAAACGGAAATCGATTTTCTTCACACGCGCACCATACACACACACACACACACATACACATACGCATCCGCGATGCATCTTCTGTCACCGATTCGGGAAATGATCGCAGCCAGACGTCGTGATAGATTCAGGTCAGTCAGGAAATTGCGCTCTTTTCCTCACCACTCTTAGACCTGCATCGATAGTTATTACTTGTCTCACGTGAGATTCTCAAATTTCTATTCTGAGTTAGATTCAAATTTTTCAGTTGAACTACGATATGGGTGACATTTATATCTGTAGTCGCAATTCAACTGAAAGGATTTTCGTCTGAGTTCAAATCTGAGTATCTCATTTAAGACGAGTTTTAAGTAATAACTATCAAGGGAACTGGAGGGTCAGATTGCCTGAAAATCGTGCTTGTTCTTTTCCAATTTTTTATGACAAACTGAATGAATATGCGAAAGTGTTATTTTGACGTGTATTTATATAACATATGAAAAGAAGAAAAATATAATTTTGATGATCAAATACTCAATATAAGTGTATGGTACATGCAGTTAAAATATATTTCGTTTTTCTTTTCAAGGTCGTCATTTTGCATATCTTGACTCTCGATGGTTCACTTAAGCTGAATTTTAGGTAGAAAATTTCCGTAAGCTTGCCGTTATCGTGTGAACTATTGATAAATTCGTGAAAATATTTAATTTTGAAATATTAATTTTTTTACTATAAGAAACTGAAAATTTAATAATATTCCATTAAGATATTTGCAATTTTGTTAACTTTTACTCAATTTCTATTATAGTGATTCACATGATAACGACAAGCTTACGGAAATTTTCTACCTGCTAAAATTCTGCTTAATTGAACCACCGAGAGTCAAGATATTACTACAGAAGTAACGACCTTGAAAAGAAAAACGAAATATATTTTAACTGCATGTATCATACACTTATATTGAGTATTTGATCATCAAACTTATATTTTTTTTCTCTTTATATGTTGTATAAATACACGTCAAAATAACACTTTCGCATATTCATTCAGTTTGTCATAAAAAAATTGTGAAAAAACAAGCACGATTTTTAGGCAATCTGACTCTCTAGTTCCCTTAATGCGGGCCTCTCCTCATCGTGAACAATAATCAATGTTGTTGTCGTCAAAAATCTAAGAAAGAGAGTTATCCTTTGAAGAGGCAATTCCTCTTCTAATTATTTCTAAAAAGCCAAAAATTGAAAGAGCTACATTGCGCTGTTCTTAAGGTGATGTTATTCCAGCTCGCATAATCAGAAAGCGGATATCTCGAGAGCGATTAATTCGTGAATCTACGTCCGACGAGGCGTTTCCGTTTGTTCCGCGAGTCCTGTCGGCCGGTTGAAGGTAGTCCCCTGTAATCCTGAAACAGCCCGCATATTGTGGCGTGTGTATCAAAAATAATTGCCACGTGGCCGACACGTGGCAGGAAAGTAACTGAAAACGACAACGTCGGAAAGGTGTGTCGAACAACGAGACGGTCTATGCTGTCCCGGGATGCTCTAGTTTTTCTCTTTTTTCTTTTT